CTCATCAACAAGATGAGTTACTACTCATGCAATTCAAATCCACTCTGAAAACAATACAAAGTTCAGAGCTTTTTGACACGTGGACACCTCAGAATAACATTTGCAACTTCACTGGAATTTTCTGTGATTCTGACAGTAAATTGGTTAAAGAAATCAATCTTTCTGAACAGAATCTATCTGGGGTTGTCTCTTTTGATTCATTATGTTCTCTGAAATCCCTACAAAAGATATCTCTTGGTACTAATTACTTGTACGGTAGAGTCAGTGACCATTTGAAAAACTGTACAAACTTGCAGTATTTGGATTTGGGTAGCAATTCTTTTTCAGGGGAAGTTCCAAATTTGTCTTCTTTAAGCCAATTGGAGTTTTTGAATCTCAATAGGAGTGGATTCTCTGGTTCATTTCCTTGGAGTTCACTAGCAAATCTTACTAATCTAACTTTCTTGAGTTTGGGTGACAATTCATTTCTTAAAAGTTCATTCCCTCTTGAAATTTTGAATCTTGATAATTTATATTGGGTTTACCTTACCAATAGTAGTATTGAAGGCCTAATTCCAGAAGGTATTGGAAATCTCACTCTGCTTGAAAATCTTGAGCTTTCATATAATGACTTGTCAGGCAAAATCCCAGATGGAATAATCAAACTTACTAAGCTTAAACAGCTTGAGATCTATTCTAATGGACTAACAGGAAAGTTCCCTGTGGGGTTTGGGAATCTCAGTAGCCTTGTCAATTTTGATGCTTCAAGTAACAATCTTGAAGGTGATCTTTCAGAGCTCAAGTCTTTATCTCTTCTTGAATCTTTGCAGCTGTTTGAAAACCATTTTTCTGGTGAGATTCCTGTTGAATTTGGTGATTTCAAGTTTACAGAACTGTCATTGTACAGAAACATGTTTTCTGGTTCTCTTCCTCAAAATATAGGATCATGGGCAGAACTTCAGTACATTGATGTTTCTGAGAATATGTTTACTGGTTCGATACCGCCTGATATGTGCAAGAAAGGGAGTATGACTGATCTTTTGCTTCTCCAGAACAACTTCACTGGTGGGATACCTTCGAACTATGCTAATTGTTTGTCGTTGCAGCGTTTAAGGGTTAGCAACAATTCACTTTCAGGAGTAGTCCCTAGTGGAATTTGGAGTTTGCCAGATTTGGAAATCATTGATCTCACATTGAATCTATTTGAAGGCCCAGTGACATCAAATATCGGTGAGGCAAAGTCTTTAGCACAGTTGTTTCTAGCCTACAACCAGTTCAATGGTCAATTACCACAGACAATATCAGAAGTTTCTTCATTAGTAGCCATTAATCTGAGCGCGAATCAGTTCTCTGGTGATATTCCAGCAGCAATAGGTGAACTTAAGAAGCTTAATACTCTTCATTTAGAGTATAATTTGTTTTCTGGAAGTCTTCCAGATTCAATCGGATCATGTGTCTCTCTCTGTGAAATTAATCTTGCTGGTAATTCACTTTCTGGTGCAATTCCCGAAAGTCTTGGCTCTTTGCGTAGCTTGAACTCTCTCAATCTATCTGATAACAGCCTCTCAGGTCAAATTCCAGCGACCCTTTCGAGTTTAAGATTAAGCCTTCTTGATTTGTCAAACAATAGGTTGAGTGGTAGCATACCAGATTCTTTATCAATAAAAGCTTTTAGTAATAGCTTTTCGGGAAATCCAGATCTTTGTAGTGACAATTTTGGTAGTCTCATGCCATGTTCATCAGATACGCACACATCTAAAGACCACAGGACAGTCGTGTTGTGCTTGATAGCTGGGGTGGTGGTTCTTGTTCTGTCACTTACAGGTTTCATTTATGTGAAGTTTAAGCACAATAATCAGGATATTCCCGTAAAGAGACTTGATTCTTGGGATATCAAACAGTTCCATGTATTGAGCTTTAGTGAAGATCAAGTCATGAAGGCACTGAAGCAAGAAAATTTGATTGGTAGAGGTGGTTCAGGGAATGTGTACAGATTAGTCTTGAACTGTGGAAAACAGTTGGCCGTGAAACACATTATAAAATCCGATTGTGGTGACCAGAAAAGTTACCGGAGCAGCTCAGCCATACTGGTGAAGGAGAATCACAGATCAAAAGAGTATGATGCTGAGGTGACCACGTTAAGTTCCATTAGGCATGTCAATGTTGTCAAATTGTACTGTAGCATCACAAGTGAGGACTCAAATATGCTGGTTTATGAATACTTAACTAATGGAAGCTTATGGGACCGATTGCACACGTCTCAGAAAGTCAAGATGGATTGGTTGGTGAGATATGACATTGCATTAGGTGCTGCTCAAGGGCTTGAGTATCTGCATCACGGATATGACAGACCCGTGATGCATCGGGATGTCAAGTCTAGCAACATCTTGTTGGATGAACAGATGAAGCCCAAAATTGCTGATTTTGGACTAGCCAAAGTTTTGCATGTTAATGGTACTAAGGACTCTTCTCAGGTTGTAGCTGGGACGCATGGCTACATTGCTCCTGGTACATATTTTGCTCTTCCCTTTTCCATTTCATTGTCACTTGAAAATAATTTTGGCAAATTCTAACTTCTATTCTTTCTTCATTGTTTGACCTAACAGAGTATGCTTACACAACCAAGGTGACCGAGAAGAGTGATGTCTATAGCTTCGGGGTGGTGCTAATGGAATTGGTGACTGGAAAGAAGCCAGTGGAGGCAGAATACGGGGAGAACATTGACATAGTCCAATGGGTTTGTAGCAAGATAAGAAACAATACTAGCATGATCGATTTGGTGGATTCAAGCATTTTCGAGGGGTTCAAAGAAGATGCAGTTGAGGTTCTTAAAATTGCAGTTCATTGCACATCAAGGACGCCAGCATTAAGACCTTCCATGAGGATGGTAGTTCATATGCTGGAAGAAGCCGAGCCTTGCAAGCTGACAGATGTAGTCGTGAATTCACCAAATGAGGATGGCAGGAAACAAGGACTTGCTAACTAATGGCAAGTCATGATGTTGAACTATATCTCGTTTTTGCAGAATATTGAATTATGTTGTAAGTTCACAAAGAATGCTTAGTGTACATATGACACTTTTGAAGAAATAGTGTATTTCACAGCTGCATTAATAAATCCAGCTAGCAAGTAATGTATTTCACATCCAAATTACTAATAGAAACTGAGCAGTTGATCTACCCTACAACCAATTTTATTTTTCTCTGGTTCAAAATAATTTAATTTTGCATAAATTTTCATGTAAGATCATTTCCTTCCCGAGTACGTTCATCTACTCCAGATGCTAAAGAAAGCTTAACTAACCAGACATTCCAATTATGACAAATTACAATGGCAGATGAAGAGCTTCAAGTTGTTCCTTGAATGCTGTTCTATTTATTATATTATTGGTAATACAACACACACAAGTTAATTAAAACTGGATATAACACTTCCCTTTTTCATCTTACAATAAATTTGTTTTCAACTATTGGCTCTTCCCATACTGGACTTATTGTTTGAGAACCATAATCATCAAAACAGGGAGAAATAGTATCACTTCCCATTTCATAAACCAGCCAAGTATTAGTAGCGCGTTCAATGAAATAGACACAGTTGCTTCTGCAGCCCAATTGACTTGCATTAACGGACATACAATAATTAGTCCCTACAAACAATGTTCTATTTCCAAGTTTGTCCAATTTTAACCATGATAGATCATCCATCTCTAGCTTGAACACTTCCACTTTATCCATCTTCCTAATCGATTTTTCAAATATCAAGAAAATCAACAAGATCTCTCCATTGGATTCTTGTAAATACTCTGTGAAGTGTTTTGGAAAAACTGATGGAACAGCCCGGCTTCTGCTTAATTTAGTGATTTGAAACCTGGATTCAATTTCTTCGATTACAGCTAAAGTACCTTGTAAGCTCAATGCATAGAACTTACCTTCAAAGCCGATGGCATTAGTAAATTGCATTAGTTCCCTTTTTGAACAGTTAGGGTCAAGCAAGGTGTTCTCTTCTTTCATCCATTTATTTTGGTATCCAATATTGGAAACCACAAAGGCTGGAGTGGAACATCCTGTTAACACCATCAAAAAACAGGCCTTGTTATTGTTATAAGGATTTGAAGACAGAGTTGCAAACTTGAATGGAATTGTGGGATCCCAAGTGGGAATACTCCGATAAGTGAATCTTGAAGTAGGAATCAAGAGACAGTACGTTGCAGGATCCTTCCCTCCAGCGACAATCAACCCGTGTGAACATCCATGAAAATGTGTCCAAGGAACATCCCAAGATGACCTTCTACTGTACCACCAATATTCACCTAGTCGAAATGGGATGGTGAGGGTATGCTCTTGAGTCTTGGACTGGAAGAAATGATCTTTGTCGGAAATTTCAAGCCAGGGTAATTGTGCATTTTTGTTACTACATTGCTTAGGTACTGCTCTCCATGATTTAGTAACACCAGGGAAGCAGATGTTCTGCATAAGACGATTGGTTTCATCAGGATGTTGCCTTCCCATAAAGTTGAGGAGCTGTTGAGGGAGATTTGGCCATGGCTCTAGCAAGCTTTTAGTCTTTTCTTGAGGTTTGACAAGCTTCTCCTTCTTTTTTTGACGACTCATTTTTAGAGAATAGATGAAGAGATGGCTATTTTGAAACTTCTAATATGCGCCTTTTTTATATTAACTTGCCTCCATGTTCCTGCTGTTTTTTTCAAATATTTAAAGAAGCACCAAAAACCTTAGCCTCCAAGGAAGTTGACCTCTTGGGCAACAAGTTTGGTAGTTTTGTGTAGAAAATGACATAAATAGTATCTTAACTATAGTAGTAGGTCTAAAATGTTCTCTTAACTAAACACTTGACGGATATAGTCCTTTAACTATTCAAAAACTTGTTAGCTTTGCTTCCTTGAGTTTTTGAATACTTAAAGGACTAAAATCGATAACTTTAAAGTTAAGAGATTAAAACCGATAAGTGCATAGTTAAGAAACCAAAGCTAACAAGTTTTTGAATAGTTAAAGCAACAATATGCAACCACTATGATTATTGTTCCATTGGATCCTAATATATGAAGAAGCTTGTATGAGCGTAATGATCCAGTTGCAGATATCTAATTTGTGTTTACATTGTAAAATGAATAAAGATTTATCAGGGTGTATAAAAGAATTGTTACTAAGAAAAATCATTATGTTCTCCAGGGCTACTTGAACAATTGAATGAGAAATATCATTATGTTCTCCGGCTACTTTGCTAAGGTTTTCAATTATGAATAAATCAATTTCTCATTCACCAAGTATCCCCCTAAAGGACAGATCCTGAAGAATCAAACTACATTCCATAACAAAACAAACAGCAAACTCAAGCTCGTGGACGAGTTGTTGACTCATTCACTTGTGTTTCTTCCTCGAATGCTAGTAAAGTCTAAATTATCTGTCGCAATTAGAGTGCTTGTCTGTTGTCCCTCTCGTGGCTTGAAAAGACTTTTTAGAGAGATAAGAATCCATGGAAATTATATGTGGTTGCTGCAGCAATATCAAACTGGACTCTCATTCTTTCGGGCATGGATGGATGGATGGAGCATTAGTATCAAAAAGTGGCAAGGCTTGATTCCTTATCTTCTAAAACAACCAGATAAAGATGATGATGAACTTGTTATTGTTGCTAGCATTGAATCACTTGCTGTAATCTTTGAAAATGGAAATCGTACATAAATTTTCAAATGAAGCAGGAAAATAGTCAAGAACAAAGGCTATGAAAGTTGGCATAATGGAGCATATAACGAGAGTATGTAATGTCACCAAACAGGATGCTTCAAAAGTTCTCGAGGATGATAACGATAAGACAAGCACTCTCACTTTAGGCAGAACAAAAATCACCATTAGAACCTGATCATGGTTGAAACAGGTAACTTACATAAGAAGATTTTTAGGCTACGGTTTCACAAAAATCACATGATAAAAAACAAACATCTCCATGATATTTTTCGCTTTGAACCAGCAACAACAAGGGAATGTAGTGATGATTTTGAACAGCACAAACCTGAATTTGAGGAGGTGTTTTTTCGAGTTTTTGTAACTGAAGTAAAAAGAAGGGATTGCAAAAAGAATATCTTTTTAAAAAAAGCCAACAATGGTATCAAACGGATCTTCTCGATATAAGAGTTGTTTTCAACAAGTTATACTTTATGTCCAATTTCACACGACATGTTAGAATGATAATACAACATACATGAGATCCTGAATCAGAAATAAATGTGTTTCATCGTCGTACTCATGATGATTTTCCGGTTATTGGCTCCTCCCAAGTTGGGTTTTTAATCTCGGAACCAGCATCATCATAACAAGGGGAAATGTAACCACTTCTCATATCATACAATCTCCAACCATCAATGGAATGATGAGTAAAATAGACACAGTTGTTTCTGCAGCCAACTTGACTTGCAGGCACTGACATACAGCAATTAATCCCCGCGAATAACGTTCTATCTCCAAGGCTGTCCAGCTTTAACAATGACAAATCTTCAATCTGCAGCTTGAACACTTCCACTTTGTCCACTATCCTGCCTGATCTTTCTGAGATCAAGAAAATGAGCAAGATTTCCCCATTAGACTCAAGAAAGTACTCAACGAACCACTTTGAGTAGTTTGAAGGAATGGCTTGTTTTCTACTTAATCGCGTGACTTGAAACTGAGATTCATGACTCGCTTCTATTACTGCAAGGGTACCCTGCAAACTTAGTGCATAAAACTTCCTATCAAAGATAATGGCATTACAGAATTGTATCAGTTTCCCCTTAGGATCATTCGGATCAATTAGGCCATTTTGATTACGTTCTTGTTTCATCCAATTTTGGTTTTGTCCTAACTGATGAACCACAAAAGTTGGGAAACAACAACGGTCCGAACCATAATTGGAATAAGGAAATAAAAATGATTCTTTGCGATCGGATGGGGGAGTATCCCAATAACCATAGCCTCCTCGGGAACTATTCAGAAAGCAGTAATCAATAGGTATCCTTTCTCCATCCACAATCGACCAAGGTGAGTAGCAGTGAAAATGCTTCCAAGGATCATAACGTGGCCTTGTTCTGCCATGCCACCAATAGCAACCAGATTCTTCGAACGTGAGGTTGAAGGTATGCTGCTAAGTTTTGCAATAGTATTGAGGTTCATTTGAAAGCTCAAGCCATGGTGATTGTGCAATCGAACTACATTTCTTGGAAGCGCATCTCCATGATTTAGTAACACCAGCAGGACCTATGGATTCAATTAAATTTGAACGTCTCCGTTGCTTTTTGAGAAAGTTGAGTAGCTTTTCTGGAAGATTTCGCCATGGTTCCACATAGGCTGACTCTTCTTTAGATGAAGTTTTCTGTTTCCTCCTATCAATTGGAGCCATGTTTAGATATTGTCAAAAAGAACAAGGTCTAGTTCTGATCTCGTCTCATAATCCAAACAATGTTTTAATAATATAATCCTCCCCGTCCCAGCTGCTTATTTTATTTAATCTTTGGCTCCAAGAAATAAGATAGTTGACTTCTTCAAAAAATATTTTATCATTTATATGTTTTATTGATCAATTGGATATATAAAAATATGCAATAAGGTGCAGAGATCAATTGTGATTAGAAGTGTCCATTCCTTCCAACATAACAAGGCATCTAAATAGTCAACTCAGCTATTTATTGAAGAAACTACCACTAACCTTGTGCTCCAAGAGATCAACTACCTTGGAAGCTATGTTTACTTGGTGGCCACATCTGATCTTGGTCACTTTTAAGCCTCAGCCTCAAGCCACATGCCCATACCATTTCCTTCTCGAGCTCTCGTTTTGCAAACTAAAATAAAATAATATGGTTCAAAAAGTCAAGAAGGAAAAGAATCAAATTTCACCAAAGAAAGAAACGAACACTAGCCCAAGGCCATGGCCAAATCTTCCCAAAGAAATCACCAGCTTAATCTCAAAAGAACACATTCTAATGGAAAACATCAGTTTTGGTGGTGTCACCAAGTCATGGAGATCAGCAAAGTCAAAAAGTTGTAGCCCAAGAGGAAAGTCCCTGTGGCCACAACTCACTGAAATTCAACAAAACACGAACCATTCTCACTGCTTCCATATCTGGTTTTATACGGGAGAGTACTGGCCTTATGGTAGAAGATGGAGAACATGGAAGGACCCTTGGATATATTTCAAGGGTCATTCCCATGGTCAACTAATAGCAGCTGGACAATATCCAGATGATATCTTTTTGTGGAAATCCTACACAGGGAGTTACTGTAAACTTCCAAATTGGGATACTTGCGTTCCATTCAAGTTTGCAGCTTTATCTACATATCATCCCATGGATCTCAAAGGTCATGGGAAAACCTGTATAACTATGGTGCTAACAGGAGCTTCTTCCCCAGCTTTTGTGTTCTGTAAAATGGGAGTAGGAAAAGAATGTGTGTGGAAAAAACAAGACTGTATCGTCACTGATCCTTTTGGCTCAGGTGAACATTGTCAGTTCGTAAATGTCATTGGCTATAACAGGAAATTCTATGCATTGAGTTTGTAGGGAACTATTGCCGTTATTGAAGAAATTGATTCTAGCCTTAGTGTCACTAAGATCAGCTTAAGCAGGGCTGTTCCTTCTATTATTTCAAGGCAATTTAAGGGAATTTTAGTTGAATCAGAAGGGGAAATCTTATCGATTTTCTTGATCTCCAAAAGATCCATTAAGAAAGTAGATGATGTTGAAATTTACAGGCTTGATATTCCAAAACTGTTGTGGGTGAAAATGGAAAGCCTTGGGCATAGAACATTGTTCGTCGAAGAGGAATGTTGTATGTGGATTAATGCCAACAAGCTAGGATGCAGGAGCAACTGCGTATATTTTACTCAGCAAATAGGTGAAAACTGGTGGCTATTCGACATGCAAGAACAAGCAATATCACCAGTTCCCCAAAGCAGCCTTTTTGGTATTGAAACTCTGATGGAGAATTGATTACCAGGAACAACCTGAGTTACTTCCGATGAAGTCCCTTCTGTAAATGTTTCAAAAAATTGACACAAATGAGTGTACATTCACAACTCAAGAATTAATTGAATTAACTTTGAAAATTACAAGGGTGTTATAGCAAGGGTATGCTAGTTTCTTCTGTAAATTTTGTGCATACATAACTCAAAATTTAATGTTCTAATCAAATGAATCATTTGAAGTACATACACACACAACTCAAGAATTAATAAAATCCTTTTACATGGGCACTTGTTCCACTAAGTTTCTTGTGCAACTTTTGGGCCGGTGAGTGCTGTGGAAGTGTGGCTCCTTTGGAATTGTCAGAGGCCTTCTTCCGTGAGATAACATTCTGGAAGGCGTCAAAGCCTTAGCTTTGGAATTGTTAGCTGATGCTTCTTGTATTGCAGTGAGTTGCTGACCTTGTCTCAAACATGGAGATTTAGCATTTCTTAAATTGGCTGTCTTTAATTGTGTAGCATTAGATCTCTCTGGTGTTATACTGGATTTCCTCAATCTCACTTTCCCGTCTGAAGTCTTACTGATTTTAATCCCACTCTCAGTCTGCAAATTATCAGATATGACATGTCCTAACCAAGTGATTCTGGTAAAAAAATGAAACATACTAACCAATTATAGAAAATATCAAGATACATGACACTTACGGATAAATCATTTTGCAAGCCCTTTGAATCTCTCTCATTGTCTTCAGGATTGTCTTTGGTGCATCTGTTTTCGTTGTCAGGATCTTCTACATTACCCTAAATACCACAAACAACATATTAAGGAGAAGATATAATTACCACGGTGACAGAATTCCAACAGGAAATGGTTCCCCCTAGTTGTGGCAACGAAAAGATTGCTTGAATATCACTCACCTGTTTTTTCCTTTGTAAGTCAGCTTCCCTAAGAATTCCCCTTTCCTGAAAATCCATTGCTCAGTCATAAGCATTTAATACTTACTATTAAAATCAAGTAAAATAGAGGATATAATTGCCTACATCAGTTCTTAGCCTGAAAGGCTTAGGATTTGTAGGCTTTGGCTTCTTGGGCTTCATCCCTGAAGCTCCAGCATTTGTGGAAAGCAAACTTTCCTTAAGATTGTTGGCTGCTGCTTGAGAATTCTGTACACATTAATCATATTACATAGTGATCAACACATTGCACTCATAGAAATTATTTCATTTGGAGGCTGAAGCTAAAAGAGGAAAAAGAAGAAAGAAATACCTTCTTGACGATTTTTTTTATCTTCTGCACACCAAGAACTTTTTGTCCAGCCTGGTTTAAATTGTTGGTGGGACTTCTGCAATAAAATTTTATACACATAAGCACCTACGAGACAACTAGTTGTGTAAAAGGTAGCTTGAAGAGTTTTTGATTAAAACATGTCAAGAAAACAAGCTGATTCTAGACCTGTTCTCATCGGGGACGGAGACATTCTCTTTGTCATCACTGTCTACGCCCTCACAATTGTGATGTCCTGCCCCTTCTGAAGTCTGGAAACAAATGGAATGGTCCATAGTATTCAATTCGGTACTACTATGATCCTCTCGAGTTGGTAGTTGACTTTGTGGTAGATCATTTCCCACCAAATATTTCTGATCAGCATCACATTTCAATTCATCTGTCACAGCATCTGCTAATGCCAAATCCATATTTTTGGTAGAATGTAAAGTTGAAGAGAAATTAGCTTCTGGATGTGCAGAATTTTCATGGTTGTCTAAAGCAGTAGCAATCTCTTTGTTACTGTCTCTCAATGCTAAATCAACTTCTGTCTTGCTGCATCCATTTTCTGCCATGTTTTTGGAGTGGCACTGCTTACCCAATTTAGCTTGGTTCTGAATTTTAGTTGAGTGTAAAGGTCTGGATTCCCTTGGTACTCGAGTTTGAGACTTTCCAGTATTCTTAGGGGTCTTGCTTTTGTCCTTCTGAGGATTTTTATTCATCATAGCATCTCTGCAATTAGGTTTTGTATCCTTTGACTTCCCGGAGTACTTCAGTAGGCGCTTCTTTTGATCTGTTATCTCTAGCTTTTTGATTCCTTGACATAATTTGGTTAAGGGGATTCGTAGTTCCACTGATTTCTTTAAACTGATGGCTTTCTTCGGGGAGTGGAAGACCAAAGCCTTTGCGATGATTCTATTCTTTGGAACATCAAGGGCTGCAGGCTTTGGATTTTGCACACTATGAAAGGAATTTGGATTTGGAAGGCATTTTTTGTTCCTTGGGGTTGTTAGATACTTGGCAGCAACTTGTCTTCCTCTTATTTTTGGATTGGCAGTTGGCTTTGATAAATGACCGATCTTCTCTTTATCTTCAATCAATTTACAAGAACTGGTCTTCTCTTTGTCTTCAATCAATTTACGAGAAATGGTTGAAACAGAAGCTAGCTTTGAAAGTCTAGACTTGGAAGATTTCGCTGGTACTGTAAGTGGGCACTTTATGTTCTTGCTGAAACATAAAGTTGAATTGATGTCAACAGTCAAGTAAGCAAACTATGAAATAAACATCAACTTTGTTAGTATTAAATCTACTATACCCTGCAGCATGTCTGCTTAGTGCTTTCTGAAGTCTAACATTGGGGCTTCTAGCAGCCATTACCTGATTACAAAGAAAACACGAAAATTTAGAGTTGCAGTACAGTATCAATAAGGCTATTAGTCATTATATACAACAACTACTACTACGCCTCAATCTCAATCAAATTGGGGCTAATAGCTACATGAATCCTCATTGTCCATATCGCTGTTAAATTTAAGCTCTTGTTGGTCATCATATCCAGAAGTACAAAAAGTAAATCAAGAAACTTACACGGAGAACAAAATCCTTGTAAATTTTCTCAGAGTCCATTTCTTCTTCGTGTTTTTGGTCGCAGCCTGCAAACAGACCAGAAGTCATACACTTTTAGAGTTCTGTCCAACAACAAAAAAAAGTCCCAGAAATTGTTATATAGGTGTGGTACCGTACTATGCATCAACTAACTTTAAAGTTAAAATCCAAGATCCTACTCACTAATCACTATCTCCCACTAACTTGTCCAATAATATGTGTAAAAGCAACTACTAATCTCATACATATCTTTGAACAATCTCGATTCTACTTAGAATTGACTTTCGCAGGTAAAACTACGACAACAACATACTCAATATAATTTCACAAGTGAGGTATGAGGATGTAGGTAAAACTAGACCTAGGTTAAATTCCTCTAAAGACAGAAGAGTACAAGAATTCATATTAAATTGTCAATCGCACTCAAAACCTGAACAAGATTCAAGAATCAGATCTACCGATATCTAAAGAAATTATGAAAAAATCAATTGGAGCTATTAGTTAAGAGAACTCAATCAATCATTAAATGCACAAAATAAAGTAAACAGAGAGAGGGGAAAAGAGTTCAATTAAAGTTGAATTTATAGACAAAAATATAGAAGAGAAGTTTTACATACCAACACGGAGACAGAACCAGTAACGATCATCAGGACGGTAGTAATCAGGAGTTGAGAAGTCTACAAACTTTGGGGCTTCAA